ACGAACAGACGGTTACTGACACAAGGAAAAGCATCTCGTTGCGGCGAGAAGCGCGAATTGCCTCGGCGCTGATGAGATATCGTCACGGTTGATGATTTCCAGGAATTAAGATTCCCGCGGCAGATGCAGCGGAAAGAAATTTAATCGAAAACTAGACTCGAGGAGAATTCTCGCGCGAAATTCTTGTGTGAAATTCACGAAGAATTGTAAGGAGGGTGATGAGAAAGACGTAAATGCACGAAGCTCGTTTATTCGTACGTAATTTGTGTGCGGTGTCACTTTCTAGAGAGGGTTCAGGGGAGTTCAAAGAGAAATTTAAAAAATCTAAAATACGCAACCGCACCGCCAGTTTGCAGGCTGTACCGTTTGTTAACCGTACGCTAAATTACAACGGGCAACAGCGCGGCCGGAGACAAAACAAATATGCTCTTCGAGTACAGAGTACGAGAGATAAATATACCGATAACACAGTGAGATAAAGCACAATATCTTTCGCGATAAAGAGGAAGTGGCGACGCTCTTCTCAAGAGTTAAATAACTTCAGGTACGAAAAAGAGGATAAGAGAAATTATTTAATTAAAACGTTATTTGGAACGTGAAACTAGATTTTTAAAATGGGTTAACGATAACAATTAAATAAAAGATATCTCTCCCAAGAATCTAAGCCTAAGATAATACTTGTTGCAATATTTTTGCAATAGTTGGTTTCTATTAATCTTTCTCTTTTTCTCTATAATTTCTATATGCATAGAAAAATTTTATTATGCAATGTTAGTGTATGTACATTAATTTATGTTACAATAATACTTTTAACACATATTTATACGTATATAAAATAAAATATAAAAATGCTGTCAAATTTATTATACGCCCAATTATATAGTTTTGCATATAGCTATTAAACTAAGGAGATGAGACGCGTAATCTGTCATTGTAACTGTTTACGTTACTACTAATTGCAACGGTCGCGCATTGCGTAAGTTCCAATTACGATGCGAAAAGCGTTTGTACGACGAAACAGAATCATCGCGATCGCGGAGGGGGGGGAGGGGAATATATGCCGAACTTCGTGAAAAGGTAGACTTCAAACGAGAAAGGAATGCATTCCTAGCTCAACATTCTCGTTTAATGAGTGAAGCGATTTTATGACCCATGCACGTTTGACGATATACGCTGTATGTAATAACCAAGCAATAATTATCATAATCGCTGGTATACTACACCAGTCAACTCGCACGTGTGTTTGCGATGGAGACGCTGATATTTTATCAACGTCTAGGATTTCTAATGTGAAGTCAGATTCTTCGAATATCAATAAAAAATTATTTAACTATGCAAGCCGCTATGCGTGAATTAATCGCTATTAGGTATATCATCGATCGTCACTGATTTCCCTTTGATTTCATTTATATTTATGAACGAGAAGCATTTTGTCATTTAGTTGACATATCAAAAAACAAATTACATTAGAGCGTGCTCGTGTTAGATAATCCTAAGTGAATCACAATTGTTCCAACTGCGACAGAATGGACGTGTAATTCCTATTTGGAAAGCAAGGTATGCCTCTTCGAGGACGCGTGTTCGCATCGTGCTGCAATCGGATACGCTCGCGTACGTCCGACGGAATGTGCGGGATTAAAGGCGTGGGCATTTGCAAAAAAAAAATATCAGACTGCATTCGCGACATGCAACGCCAATATCTCTCCGCATTTGAAATTTAAACGCGATTTAAATTACGATAGTTGCGCTGCAAATCTCAGAATTATTATTAATTTAAATAATATTAAATATTATTATTATCAAGGATAATACTATTAAACGAAAGAAAAAAGAGTTTGATTGATGCCACAATGCAACGTAATTGCCTCCTCTCAATCGCATTGCGTATGTCTATATGCAAATATACATATAAATAACAAAATAACTTTATCGATAGAGAGAATACGATATAAAACTCGATGATTTGAATCGTACATGCGGAAAACTGCAATGTGTAAAATAAAAAAATTGTTAAACAGCTTTTTATTTAAATAATATTTTATGCATTTAGATAAGATACAGAAAATATTGTTATTTCGTTATTACTTTGAGATAACTAAGCAGACATTTACATAACATTATTTTCTTGGCATTTTCTCTCTTTCTTCAACACAAAAGAAATAGCCTTCCAGATTATCCCTGTAATCATTTTTTTAAAGAAAAATTGTCAAGTGTTTTAAAACGAACGGAAAAAAGTTAGAAATTTTTAAGAAATCCTACCCAATAATAAGAACGCATCCGCGTGAAAATAATTTCATGCTTACTATACACAATATTAATCTTGCTCTCTTTAAATAATAGTTACTCTTTTATATATTCAGCTTTATGTACTTTTATCTAAATTTAATCTTAATCCAAAAATATTCTCTCATAATTTATTATTTGAATTCTACTGGCAATATTTCTACGCGAATTGATCTAAATAATTCGCTGGGTTACACAAAATATTGAAACGCCAAGATTTGCTGGGTCTCTTTCGAATCAGATTGGTCTCCTGCTCTCCTGGACCCGTCAGTAATTTGGGACTCGAGGGGAGGAGCTGACCACCTGCGCCCGCTTCATTTCGAAGCAAGTAATTCTACCTGGCTTAAACCCCGCCGAGAAGCCGTCAAGTTATCTTTGAGAAATCGAACAAAGACTCCAGATGGGACTCGTGAGTCCTATATTTAGCCTCCGCCTCTTAAATTTACGCGTAAACGCGTATGTTTGTTCACTTTACGTTTCGATCTTCCTCTAGATACATTCCATCAACGACATCCACGGTCTGTCGATCTTTTCTTAAGAATATTCCTCCGAGCCCAACAAAGAAGCGCCCATATGGCGCTGAAAAGGACGAAAATTTTCGTGGGGACCATTCTTTCTTTTTCTTCATGGACCATCTTCTGAATATCTTCTTATAGTTGGCCTCAATAGAACGTATCATGAAAAGCGAAAATGGTAGGAAATCGTTCTGCTGATTCAGAATGTCAAGCACAAACAAAACTTGCTTAATTCAACGAAGATTATTCGATTGAATGATCGAGAATTAGAGTGACATTCCAGGGATGAGGAGAATTTTAATCTTGTCCTTTGCTCAGTTGCAATTCAGTTTAAAAAAAAATCGTGAATAAATATCGACAAGCACGATCCGCGCGTAGCTCGGTGATCGCTCATGTTGCCGAGCGGAATGAATGTTATCCGGTAAGATAACTCCCTATGCATTGTCATCAGGTGACAAAAAGCATCTCGAGTGACTGTTGCGTAGTCGCGTCGGCTGTGCGTATTTTAAATTCCTCCGAGAAATATAATTAACTAATAGTTACATTAACTAATCGTGATTTTTTTCGAAATCTTCACCGAGATAAAATTGTCAAGCTGCATCGTTCGTTGTCTCGACTTCGCAGATTAAGATTCTAGTAGTCGTCTAGTAGTCGAGTGCTTCTCAGAACTGGTCTGCGTCTTTCTGACGCGTGAAAATAATTGCCCGATTTTCAGCATTTGCAAGTCGCCGTGGCGTTTCTACCGCATACCGATGTATTTCTTACATAGGTGGTACGGCGTCGCTGATAACTATTCCTCGTACTCTTTGAATTTGCATCCCGCGCAACTGAAGTCCGAGCCAGGAAATTGTTTACGCGGAAGACTGCAAGATACGACGCGATTTCTCGCGTAAATCCCGCTCCGAGAACGAATGCACAATCAATTTTTCCGACCGAGTCGGAATCAGTTTCAAGAACAAAACGAAACATGGCGCAAATAAATCTACTCGATATCTATACCTGAATGAGAGCCTGAATGAGAGCAACGCAATATTATTTCTTCGTCCTGTGTCAATTCTCATTATTAAAATTCCTACATTTATTGTGAAGCATTGATTCGAGTTTAATACTGCGACTTACATACTGCATCAAACAGATGGAAAACTACACGATCGTTTTACAAAAATCAATTATTAAATTGACATAAAGACGAAGCTTTTTAAGCTGCGAAGTTACGTCTTAAAATCGTCTCTTACGAAATCTCAACGCGCTTACTCGTCCCACGCCCTAATCTGTGTGCACCTGAAAATTTCCAGCCACTCGCGACTTCCCGTTACACTTGATAATTACAGTGCTTCGTCGGGCACAGATTTTTCGGAGCGACGTGACTCGTGGACGAGCATATTGAGAACCGCGATTGATAAAAAACATTGATTCAATTGAAAAATCGATCTTCGTACTTAAGTCCGTGTCACACAATCCTCGATAAAGAATACGTGACTGATAAAGGCGATTGAATACATCTAATGAGCATGCAGCTTGGTCGCTATATGAAAACAAGCTGAATTTTCAGTGCTTTAGAAATTTATACATTGAGGAATCTGTTGCACTATTAAAAGAGAAATCAAAACTCTCTGAGCACTATTAAAAGAGAAATCAAAACTCTCCCGCTTAAATTATACAATAACATTTTATTTCAGTCGATCGACTTTCGAGACAATAATCTCCCTTCACGTCGGTTACCAAGTTGTTCATCCCACGTTTGCGGCCAAATATGTCCGTAACCGGTGCAAACAGGTTTCCTCGTCGTTTGTGTAACGCTCAAGCTAGAGTCATTATGTACAGATAATATTATAAGAACATTATGATAATAATGTAATAAACATATTGTATAATCAAATAATTTATGTAATAATTATATCCACGATTTTTTCCTAGTAAATCGATGCGTATTATAATGCAGTAAATACAGTAGTTTACAGATTAGCCTCGGCATTCAAAAAAGTTGCTTGAAACCGAGGTAATGAAACACGTCGCGGAAAAAAAAAACCGATGTGACGTCTTTCAGTCCGATGATGTATTTCCCACGTACGACACTTCCTTGTGTCTCTGATTGCGACAATATTGCGTAACAACGCATATTTAATAATAACGATCGCTACCACACGTACGAGGGGCATTTCCCACCTTTTTAATGATTCCCGCTTCTGCTACCATAGATCATCCAGAGCGCACTACATGTGTTCTCATCCCCCGTGTGTCGAAAAGTCCGTATCCGAACTATTCACATATGTGTCAGAAGTCGCACCAGTCTGCAAGCCGTCACACGATTATCTAACGTCAGCGTCTGTAGGTGGGGCAGTAACGTTGTGCAGTAACACGACCAGCGTTGCATCGGGTGCACCTCATTTGTTAAAATCTCAGACATCGCGAACGGAGCCACGGAGTTTGAATTCCCGAATCGTGTCCCGCGAACACGATCACTTTCGAGTATTGTCGAGGTAAAGGTACATTCTTGCACGGAAAAATTCAATAGAATCTTGATCATTCGAATGATATTCAGCAGTTTGAAAATTTTGACAATTTTTTAAATAAATTGCATTGTGTATTAGAAGGATTATAAAGAACTACTTTGCACTTGTGGCAATAAAATAACATAGTACGCTTAAGTCAGCGAAGAAATGTCGAAATAGCACATCCGGTTCGGCGGAGGGAAGCTTAGTGCAATGACTGGAGGTATTCCGGAAGAAGTTTGCTCTTGTTTCTTTGTAAACCGCAAGAGTTGCCGCTCTTACACTTGATTGCACCGACACGAACGTGACGTCCGGGCGCAACACTCGATCTCTTGAAAACTTTGATACAGATTTCTTGGCATTGACCGCTACAGAGGAGTGACAAAGAGCGTTATAATGAAGCGTTTTATCCGTTATACATTGGTGTTTAAATATATAAAAGGATATAATAGATAAATTATTAATAATATCTAATTAATAATATCTAATTTATTAATATTTAAAAAATATTTAAAATTATATTCTTAATAAATTGAAATTCGTAATTTTTAAATTTTTGTAAACTGTCCGTTTCAATATTTATGAAATATACGTTTTGGAAGGTCTAACAGAACAATGTTTACTTTGTGGCAAGCATTGCTCAGCAGACGTTGTTTGAGAACGGAGAAGAAAAAGTCTCACGTTACATACCTAGAGCATCTAAGAAGTGATGCATTTTTTATGGATGTGTCCAATTTCAAAGATTTTAAAGACGGTAATAAGACAGATTGTCAGTTAATTATTTTTCAAGAAACGAAAGAGATAAGCTAATGAGATTTTTATAAAGAGATTCTTAAAATTTTGAAACATATAAAAAAATTTTAAAAAAAGATAAACTTCGCATTGAATTAATTATTTGTATGAAAATATAAATTGCATTTTAATATAGATTCAATTTTATTTTTGTATATTATTTACTACATCTTTATTTATACGGCAAAACTAGAAAAACAATTGTAGTTAATAAAGAATTCTCTCTAATATCAAAATCTATTATGAACACGAATATTTTCGTTAATGCGCCAGGACTACCGGCAATATATTATATTATATACTTGCCCCGGTATATAGTATATAAAATATATAAAATAATTTATAATATATAAAATATCTTTGTCTTATCCAATGTACTAATTATTTTCAGAATAAGCCCTAACATGGAGATCTCGGCAGCTTGGCTGCTGACCATTTCCTTGGCGGTCGCTACCATTACGATCGATGCAAGAACTACCCCGCCATCCACTACGGAAGTCATTCCGAGTAAAAATGCGGAGGACATCAAACCGACACCGAAAAGCAATTTTATAGACTATGCTAGTCCCTTCACGAATATGAAGGACATATTGATGCAAGAGATCCAGACTTTAGACAAAGACGCTTCCGATGCTAAGGTAAATGCGGGTTTTTTATTATATGAAAAATATTATGTTTTATATTTTAATATTTTTAATTAATCCTGTAATGAGATAAGCGGTCATATCGCGATTAAGATAAAAGAGATCATATCTTTTTAAACAAAAGACAGCTCAATTATTTGCGAAATTACGTGTAAAAATGAATATTGTTAAATATTGACGGAAAATATTTTTCCGTTGCTTGCATCATTACAATACATAAACAATAAGTAATACATCTACAATTATAAAGGAGATTCTTTTATCAAACATAATTTAAAAAATCGAATTCTGGGTTACAGCCTCAATTTAATTTTTTTATATGATTAAGTCACATTGAATTACGATAAAAACGGTTATTTAGATCCAGGAAGAGGTGGCGAAGACTTTAAAGGCCGAAGCGCAAAAAGATATAAATTTCCAAGCGAAAAAAACTCTGAAACCGAACAAGACAAGTGTATCAAAATCGCTTTTGGGAGAAGGTGAGGAATTGAAGAAACTCGATGATATGCCCTATGAGGATAATCTTAACGACGAGGAAAACGACGATGACGATGACGACGACGACGATTTCAGCGACGAGGAATACGAGGAGGAGGACATGCTGCCGGGGGTGGATGATGATGAAGAAGTTATGACACAGTGCCCTGATTACTGCAAGTGCGCCGGGCAATACGCCGCTGCAACGACTGCAACGTATGTTTCTAATCGGATCATTATGTAACTGAATAACGTCCCTTGGTGTGACGGCAGATAAAGAGTCCGTAGATAGGCCGCTTCCTGCTTAGAGTGCAATAATACGGCACAGTTTTCTACATTAATAAAGAGTTAATGAGAGTCAAATAAATATTTCATTCTTGTTATAAAATTTTATCATTGTTGAGTAAAGTTCGAGGACGTATGCAAACGCGATTAAATGAGATAATTAAAAAATTGCGTAAAATGTCGCTATTACGTTTAATTACTCTGATATGTCTTTTTACGTCACAGCGATTTCCTTTAAGTGCTTCGTAAGTTCTCGATTATTTTGAATTTTTAATTTTTTTATACTGGCCAAGTCATTAGACGCAGATTGAATCTAAATCGATTAAAAAATATGAATTAGAATCTGTCTAATATTCGTAGTGACAATTTATACCATAGCTAAATAATATAATATGCAACTTTGGCATTAATCATCCCCATTTTTTCTTATTTTGTCCATATAGATGCACTAAATTGGTGAATGAGCAATCCTTTGGGTCAAGCATTGCCCATCTGCGTATCGAGAACGCCGGCGAGATACGATTAGGACCGAACGCTCTGCGAGCTCGCGGCCTTCAGAATGTGGAGTCCATCACTATCGTCGACACGCGCATAGTCGAACTAGATCGCACGGCCTTCAACGGCATCACGTACCTGTTCGCCGTGAACTTGACACGCAACGGTCTGCAGGACATCCACCCGAATACCTTCCAAAACAACACGCAACTCAGCCTGCTTACGATCTCCGGTAATCCGCTTAAGCATATGCATGAGTCGAAGTCGGCGAAACACTATCTTCTGCACGCACCATCGGTCACCGATTTCGATTTCTCGTACAACGGTATACTACGGCTGAAACGCACCGCCTTCTCCAAGATGCACAGCCTCAATTTCATCAATCTACGCGGCAACCGTCTAAGAGAAATCGACAACAAAATCTTCGATTCGCTGAACCAGCTCGTAGAGGTGGATCTTTCAGATAATATCCTGGATAAAATTCCGACCGATTTATTCATTGATAAAGACGTGCAAATTCTTCGCGTCGCTGGTAAGGATGATGACCACATGTACCATGATGTTATTTATAAATAATTACGCAAGAGAATTTAAAATCCAATTTATCTTTTAATAATATTTAGGTGCAGAATTATAGCGCAAAACTACTAAAATATTATTAAAATCGTAAATGCTTGATTAAATTGAACAGAGATAAATTTTAATTTAATTGATTTATTGCCTAATGCCAATGAGTAAACTAAGCTTTTTTTCTCACTATTGGGAAATTTAATATAGAAAAAATTATTTTTAGGAAATAATCTATCGACACTGGCTAATATAATTTCCCCGAAATTGACAATGCTTGATGCCTCGAGAAACAAAATCAGAGTAATCGGGAAAGATGACTTGGAAGGCGTACCATTATTGGATCAACTGTATATCAAGTCGAACAATATGAAGAGAATCCATCAGCATGCTTTCAGCAATCTCGAACAGCTACAGTATCTGGATATCAGTGATAACAAGCTCTCTTCTTTAACCGAGCATCATTTCAAGTCCAATCCAAGACTGCTGGTTCTGCTGATGAACGACAATCCCGGTTTGCAAGTTCTGCCAGTTTTCAAAACTTACGACTTGGAATACAATACATTCAGGTGAATATATGCACTTTGCCGCTTTATTTTAAGAAGCAAATAAATTAGTAGTCTGTATGCAATAATCGTCGTTATTTAACAGCACTATCCGTTTCGAGTGCGCGAATTGTGGTCTGGACAGCCTCAAGGCAGGTACGTTCGATGAAATGCCGGCGCTGACTCGGCTGAAGCTCTCGAAGAATCGCCTGACCGGTCTGCCCGACGGATTCCTGGATAATCTTTCGTCTCTTCGAGAATTGGATTTGTCTGATAATATCATCTCTACTATTCAACCCAAAATGTTCCGCGGCGCCATAAACTTGAGCAAGCTGAACCTTGCTCGCAATCCATTGAGAACATTGCAAGTGACGCCGTTCCTGGACTTACCAGGACTCACCAAGTTGGACGTGAGCCGGTGCAATCTCGAGCGCGTCTGGAGCGAAGCTAGAGTGCCGTTGAAGAGTCTTCGGTGAGAAACTTACAGAAATTTATTACAATCTACGTTCTTCCGTAGATTGTCGTAATTTGATAATTAAAAATTCTTTTTTTAATAACATCTGAAGGTTTTGCGAAATCTTTCAAATTTCAAAATTATTCCATGACAATTTTATCAATATATTCATTGACCAGTGTAATTGATCGATATATTTTACGTTTTCGCTCCTGTTTAGGTTCCTGTCGGTTCGCGGTAATCTTCTACGGCGAATCACCGTCGAGGAACTTAGGGCCACGCCGCAACTCACTGGTCTGGATTTGTCGCACAATCCTCTGGATTGTGACGCCGAGTTCACTGACGCCGTGCAATGGCTTACTGATCATGGTGTTTCACCAACAGAGGTACTCGAGTGAGTATTCAAATTCGCCAGCTGTTTAGTATATGTATATACATGCCGTATAAGACATATCTCAGTCTGTCGTAATATTTTTATAGGATCGTCAATGACAAGTATGATGATATTGAAGATATTGATAGCTTGATATCAACGATGGACATCACCGAGTGGACAGACTTGGCGAAGATAGTTTGCGATGGAATCGAGGATGGTCCACCAGCCAGATCGCTTCCTAGCAAAGGCACACACGAGAAAGAAATTCCTCTAGATCTGGATATTATAGAGGAATCCGATCCTTTCTTGAAAAACGAGCTTGATAACGACGAGGTGAGACAACAATTAATAGATTCTTCATTCTTTGATATACGTCTTATTGCTAGAAGTGTTTCTTTTACATATTTCAATTATTTAATAACTGTAATTTATATAATTTTAACTTCTCGAGATAAAATTTATTATGTATTTATTTAAAAATTGAAATAATAACGCCGGACGTGTTTGTCGCAGAAGTTGAGCATCGATCACGGCATGCAGCATATCGATGAGCCGCGACTCACGGAGGATCAAGAGTACGACGGGGACTTCGCGGTCACCACGGAATATCACACTTGGTACAACTTCAAACCCGGCTTCAAAGTCTGGCTGGTTTCCGGCACCGTCCTGTCTGTTCTCGTGATCTTCCTATTGGCAGCACGTATCGCCTGCTGCTTGGCGAACAAACGAGGACGGGGTCCTGTAATCAGGCCACCCCTGATTCTCCGTCCAGGTCTGGTCGACAACAAAAACTGCGGTTTGGTGTACAAACCTTTGCAAGAAGAAATAGCCACGCCTCACATGCCGAAACGCGGCAGCTTCTACTCGAGCAGCACCTTCCATTACGACAAAATTGTACCAGAGAGTGTATAAGAGAAATTTGCTTCCTGATTAATTAAGTCGCCAATTACGGGGCGACCGACCGATGTGCTTGGTCGTGAACGGCGGACCGTCGAAGATCATTTTTGCGCCGTTCTCGCGAATCAAGTGAAGTTCTTCAGACTGTTATTAGGTGAACGACAAAGCCGATGAGGAATAATTAGATAGATATTCCTTCGAACCATACAGCTCACGATATGTGATCTTATTGGTAAATTGTAGTATAATCGTTTTTATTGAAAGAGTATAACTATGTCGAGCATTTAATTCGATCTCCTGAAAACACATATTGATCGAAATGTTTCTTCTAGGTTTTGTCGCGTTCTCAAAGTTTACGCAAAACACGTGATTAATAAGCGTTGATTATTATTATTATTAACTCGAAGATGCCTGATAGAAGTAAAATAACGGATAGTTATAATATTTTAGCTTATAATATATATAAACCGCAGTACTGTGTTGCAATCATATATAATCATATATCATTTTGTAAGGAACAATGAAAAATTAGATTATTTTTTACAAAAGGTAGAGTTACAAAAAATTACAACAATGTACTTATTATTTATGAGCACAAAGCTTATAACAGCTTTACTCGGTTAAGCAGCGGGTTTCGAAGCGTAATTCGAAAGAACAACAGTACTGCCTAAGAAATATTTAATCAAATGAAGGTTTTACATGATGATGATTACTTAATAGTAATAGTAGTAATAGTAATACTACGAAAATTGGGCATGTCTATTGGTAGCCGATGACGAACGAATGAGAGAATTACGTATGACAGATGTGAAATTTTATACGAAACGGAAGAGAACGAGAGAGAGCTCCCTGTAGGATGCCCAATCATAGTAATATATACCAACAGTAAAAACAATAATTTTTAATTATGGTGACAATATCCTCACTCGATGAGAATTCGAAAATTTACGACGAAACTAATATTTTGTACGTACGTTATGTCGCTACGCACGCACAAGCTCTATAATTATGCTCTATCATATATATTATATATATATACGCTGTAAATAATAAATATCGTTTTAATAAAATTTTATTTAGAACCACATTGAAATCTATTTTCTGCTTTGATCAAATATATCTATGCTACAAAAAAGAACATTTACGATAAAAAAAAGAGTATTAAAAAACGAGTAGGTCACTGCGATTCGAGAGAAAAAAAAATACAATACTTTGTTTATCAGATTTTTACAAGTGATCAATATTCATTCAAGGTTCATTGTTCAATATGGAAACGTGTACACTAGCTAGTATATACTTATATAGAGATAGATGACGTGGAACTAAATAAGCTCGATTGAATAATTTCTATCATAACAAGAACCGACGCGATAAACTTCTGCGAGATACAGACAGCCGATCGAAATCAGGCCAGAATCATTGACGCAAATTCAGTACCAACTTTTTGTATTGCACTATATTCAAGATATTCCTGAACTCATTAATGGAAAACTCTATTGATAAAAAAAAACAAAAAGGTTTTATAATATTTTGCATAATAAATGTATCACATGATTTAAATGTTTTAAAGATACAACATTTTGCTTGTTATAAGTTTCAAAAATTAGATTAAATATCTCTTTATAGAAAAAGTTTTTAAATTATATATTAGCTTCAAAATTAATTTATATAAATGTTCAATGTTCTCAATAAAGTTGTTTAAGTTGTAATAAATTTTAATCTCTAAAAACTTAATTAAATAAATTCTAAAAATTCTAAGTTGTGGAATTCTTAGAATATTTATTTAAAAAGCCGTTTATATTTTTATAAAATTTTGATTGAATACAAATTACTCGTGAAAATGTAATAAATAAAGTTGTGTATTTTTCTTCCTGAGTTACGATGATATTCTTGACTTTTAATTTTTATTTCTTTCTTGTAAACGTCTGGATCTTTTTGTAATATATCTGATTCAATATAAATTATATTTTATTTAAACGTTAAAATTTTTTCTTCAATTAACGAGATTTCAGAAATTATTTTTTAGCCTGAACGATTAAGAATAAGTAACTATAAAACGTAATTCGACAGGATTCTATTGATACAGCCCTGTTCACACATGAATAACAGAGCCACCTCATCAAGGCCTAAGTAGTAGAGTGAAAGGAAGGGGAATACGAAATGGTCTTGGTATTAAGTCGAGAGTGAGGCACGAGAGTTCGTGAAGAACGTTACTCCATAATATTTTCACTCAAAAGACCTCTACCAGTGGCTACTGTGCTATTTCCTTTAAACAATCGTTTTTAAAAAATATTTAAAATGCTGCCGAGGCGACGCGTCATCGATCTTCTGCAAGTCATTTCATCTCAGTCGTAAGTAAACTATCATGTAAAATTTTTATTTAGATGAAAGTGATATACTATAGCGATGTTGTCAAATTTATTTACAGCGTTTTGATGTGCCCTCTATTATAGATTATATGACAAACATAAATTTAATTAGAAACTACATGTTCCATTTATCTTCTTTCTAAGAGCATTGTTATAAACTTTAGCTTACGATTTTACATAAGTATATTTTACATAAGTACATAAGAATCTTGCTATATATATTTTTTTAAAGTAACAAAACTCATTTCCATCTGTTTTGTAAGAACGTTATATAAGAAACGTAAAGAATGTGAGGATGGAATGTAACAATATCGGTGACAATCTGTCAGACGGATCTGCACGTGTCACGTTAAAGTAACGCTCATTAGCTCAATAGCGATTCTCAATGGATTTATTTTGGGACAAAGAATAGAAATATACTCAATACGCGTGTGGAATACGAAATTTAAGCTGCTCTGAACATTTAGATGCAGATGTCCAGCGCACGGAAATCCAGGAGCTACCAGCGTGCGGGATCACGGAAAAGCTCGGAGCACCGCAGCAAACGTTACGACCGATAAGGAATATGCTTTCGAGGTAAAATTTGTGTAAGGAGAAAAAAATTACTAAGAGCTCTTCTTAAACGCTTGTTAAAGCATAAAGTTTTATCACGCCTCCCCCC